AGGTCCTCATGCTTTTCCTCAAGGACGTGCGTGCCAAGAGCAAACTCACCCCCGACGGACGGAGGACAGACAGACTCAGACTCAGCAACAAGACTAGCGGCGAAGTCTAGACGACAGGCAGCAGCAATGTCAACAAGCTCAGCAAGAAAGGGAGACACAGCAGCAGACTCAAACGACGGGTCAGTGACAACCGTGGCTAGCAGACGCGTGACAGTAGATTGAGGAGCACGGGTGCGGCCAGACTCAGGCTCAGGAACGGTAGGTAGAGAAGACGCAGGAGGGGACGGCAGGGGGACGCGCTGCGGAGGAGAGGAAGGACGACGAACTACGAGGTGGGTGCCGGGGACAGTCGGCTGACGGGAACGAGGAACACGACGACCAGAACTACTAGAACCGACAGGCGAGATAGGACGCGACGCAGGCTCACGACGCTCAGTAAAACCCCATGTCCGCTCACTGTAAGGAGAAGGAGCAGGCAGCGTTGAGCCAGGCTGTAACGGAAGACCAGTAGACGAAGGGAGACTAAGAACTTGGCGAAGCATAGAGTCAGGTGGTGGCTATGATGACGGAGACGGTGGAGCGAAGAATAGGCGCAGCTGTGCAGTGCCACCAGCACCAGCAGCTCAAGCACCCCCAGTAGCTCCAGCACCTCCACCAGCTCCAGAACCCCCTGCGCCAGCTCCTCCAGGACCAGCTCCACCAACAGCAGCACCCCCAGACCCAGGGTCTCCAGCAGCAGCACCCTCAAGCTCAGCAGCACCTCCAGCCCCAGCAGCTCTAGTACCTCCAGTATGAGCACCTCCGGGACCAGCACCACTCCCAGCTCCAGTGACGACAGTAGAAACACCTCCAGCGGTAGAGCCCCGAGCTCCAGAAACGCGACCCTGACGGCGACCGTACCAGTCGTGAAGCTGCTATGAGGTGAGAGGCACACGCGGACGAAGGTGGCTACTCCAGAGAGACCGCGCAACAGCAGGCTCAGAACTCTTAGCGCCAGCACCCGTAGCAGCTCCAGAACCTCCAGCGCCAGCACCCATAGCAGCTCCATAACCTCCAGCGCCAGCACCCGCAGCAGCTCCAGAACCTCCAGCGCCAGCACCCTCAGCAGCTTCAGACTCCGCACCCCCAGGCTCCGCACCTCCAGGCTCAGCACCCCCAGGCTCCGCACCCCCAGGCTCTGCACCCCCAGGCTCAGCACTCCCAGAAACAGCACCCCGATCAGGACCACCCTCAGCAGGAGCTGAGTCACCAGTGACCTCAACCGGCACAGTCAAGGGAGGATGGTCTACCTGAGACACACCTGAAGAAGCACGACTGGGAGTGGGGAGAGGGTCTACCTGGGGAGCACCTGGAGCGAGGAAGAGCTGCGGGGAGGGGAGAGGGGCAGTGCGGTAGGGGAAGAGGCGGTAAAAGGGAACCGACTCGTCGAACATGACATCCTGAGAGGGGAAGACAGAGCGCCAGGTGGGGTGGTAAAACTGCCAACCAGGCGCGTCATGGACAAAACCAAGGAAGACACAGCGAACAGCGCGGGCGGAGAGCTTGTCCGCGGTGGTATCGCGGACAAAGGCACGAGCACCCTAGACCCGGAAACGCAAAGCATCGCCAACCTTCCCCGTCCACAACAGTGTGGGCGAGGTCTCCGACAAGGAGACACGGGGCCAGAGGTTGAGCTGATGCGCGGCGTACCGGACCGCAAACGGCCAGAGAAAATGGGGGGCAGCCGCATGGATCATGGAGGTACGAGCGACCTCCATGACTAAGCCAATGCGGCGCTCAGCAACCCCATTCTGCTGCGGAGAGGCCGGAAGCATGAACAACTGGGTGATGCCGTGCTCCTCACAGAAGGCTGCCAAGAGGTCGGAGGAAAACTCACCACCTTTGTTAGAGTGCAGGCGTAGGACGGGAAACTCCGTCCCGAACCGCTCGCGGAGCTGGAGACGAGCAGCGCGGATCCAGGGGATCAAAACATCAGGGACCTCACCCTTGGTGCGCAAGGGGAAGACCGTGGTGTAACGCGTGTAGTCGTTGACGACCAGCAGGAAGTACCGCTCGTGGCCCTGTCCACGGACGCGGGCTGGGCCCCACACGTCCAGGTGGAGAGTCTGCAGGGGAACCTCTGTGGGAGGGAACGAGGAGGAGTGAGGAGCGGCGCGTTGCTGCCCCTCGACACAGGGAAGACAGGGAGGAGCAGGCGAGGGTGGGAGGGGAGGGAGAACCCTGGGAAGACCAGAGACAAGGACACGGCGGTGCATGCTGCGAAGGCGCTGCACCGAGGGGTGACCAAGGCAATGGTGCCAAAGGAGGGTCTGGTGCGACAAGGCGCGAGACGAGCAGGGGGCCGACAAATGACCTGACGCAGACGTAGACACAGCTACCTGAGGGGACTCAGTGGTCAGTGTGTACAGGCCCGACCCCGGCTGCCGAGTGAAGGTAGCCAGGTGACGACCCGTCTGAGCACAGGTGCAGTGTGTCATACGCTCGTAGGCAGGGGTGAACTGGTGAACACCCGCGTCTTGGAGCGCAGAACCTGCCACCAAGTTCGTAGAGAACGAGGGGAGGTGGAGACCCGACACTGTGCCGGACGGGACAGCAGGAAGGAGCGAGAAGTACCGGAGTCAAGCGTGAAGGTGTACTAGGCCTCAGCAGGCGCAATACCAGAGAGAGCAGACTCACCAGCACCTGGAGCAGCAGCCTCACCCGTACCTAGAGCAGGAGACACACTAGCCCCTAGAGCAGCAGCCTCAGCAGCACCTAGAGCAGCAGGCTCTATACTTGGGTCAGGCGGTACGCACAGGTAACAGGCACGGTCAGCACTAGTAGACAATGCATACATGGCAGTGAGAATAGCATCATAGTCAAGAGCAAAGATATCTACCCTCTGCCCAAGCAGCTCCACCCAGTTGGGGAGCTCACCCTCGTCGCCAAACTCGGTACGCCAGGCGTCGCTCATACGGGCGAAGCAGCGGGACTGTGTGTGAGTGAGCGTCCCGCAAGCCTGACCAGTTCGAGCACTAGTGCGAATGACGTACGCGCAGCGAACGGTACTCAGAGACCCTCTACTCTGAGCGTACCACTCGTGAAGTTGTCGAGACGTAAGTGTCTCGTGTGGACGCCGCTGTAGCTGCAGCTGACCACTGCCAGACTCTCCCAACTGACCAGCTCCAGTGCGCTAGCTACGACGGCTACCGCGACAACCCCAACTAGCGTACCACTCACTAAGCTGCTGGGGCGTGCGAGACTCGTGCGGACGTCACTGGAGCTGCATCTGGCCACCGCCAGTTGCAACATTAGCAGTAGTAGCAGCAGTAGCAGCGCGGCTTGTGCAAGCGCGGCAGGCAGGGATGCAGGCAGGCAGGCAGGCAAGCGGCAGCGCATGAACAAGGTAGGTGCTCACCAGTGGCGGGAAGGGTAGGCGCACGACGGCGGCGATGGCGAGGCCGCTACAGCTGCGGCAGGGCAGGGCCGCGTCGGTGGTAGGGCAGGTCCGCGACAGCTGCTGCAGGGTGGGGCCGTGACAGCTGCAGGGCTGGGCCGCAACGACGGCAGAAGGCTCCGCGGCAGCTGCTTCAGGGCGGGGCCGCGAACGCGGCAGGAGACTCCGCCGCAGCTGCCGCAGGGCAGGGTCGCGACCGCGACAGGAGGCTCCGCGACAGCTGCTGCAGTGCAGTGACGCGACGGCGGCAGAAGGCTCCGCGGCAGTTGCTGCTGGGCAGGGCCGCGACTCTGGCAGGGCACTCCGTGGCAGCTGCTGCAGGAGCGACGGTGGCAGCTGCTGCAAGGCGGCGTCCATGGGCAGCCGCGAAGAACAGGGGCAGCCGCGGCGCGCGAGGCTGCAGCGCGCTGCGCGTGCTGCGGGCGCGGCGCGCGGGGCTGCAGCGCGACGCGCGGGCAGCGAACGCGACGCGCGGGCAGCGGGCGCGACGCGCAGGGCTGCAGCGCGACGCGCGGGCAGCGGACGCGACGCGCAGGGCTGCAGCACGACGCGTGGGCAGCGGACGCGACGCGCGGGGCTGCAGCGCGACGCGCGGGCAGCGGGCGCGACGCGCGGGGCGGCGACCCGGCCTGACGGGCCTGCAGGGGCGGTTCGCGGGCCTGACGGGCCTGCATGGGCGGCTGGCGGCCTGACGAGCCTACAGGGGCGGCGCTCTGGCCTGACGGGCCTGTAGGGGCGGCGCTCTGGCCTGACGGGCCTGCAGGGGCGGCGCTCTGGCCTGACGGGCCTGCAGGGGCGGCTCGTGGGCCTGACGGGCCTGCAGGGGCGGCTAACGGGCCTGACGGGCCTGCAGGGGCGGCGCACGGGCCTTACGAGGCTGTAGGGGTGGCGCGCGGGCCTTACGGGCCTGCAGTAGGCAGCGCGAGGGCTGCAGGACGGCGCGCGCAGCGCAGCACGTCACAAGGCAAGGCAGGACAATACGTGGGGTAACGTGGTAACCGCAATGGTAGGTGGGCCCGAAAAAAAACGGTCCTACGGACCTAGTGCTATGAAACTATGTCAGAATCTAGCAGCAGAAAATGATTGAACTATCTCAGATAGAGATATAAATATGAAACCCTAATGTGGGTTGTACCCCATATTGGCTACCCCACTATAGCCTAAGCATATGTAGCATATATATCATTTGAAAAATTGTGTTTTGTTACAGCATTTCCAGTAAAAGTATAAAAACTATTTCAGAGGGTGGCGCTTATAATTCGTAAGCCTTCAGGGGTGCGCTTATAATCGAGGACCGGATATAAGCGCCCTCATCCTTTTATAAGCGCCGGCACTTATGCAAGGCCTGCGCTTCTATCCGGGGGCTTACGGTATCAGAAATACCAGCATTGATTGATTTATATTAGTGGGTGGGAATTTGATTCTTATGTGCTTCTTCCGTCCGCGTCTCCGGCTATTCGCAACATACGCTACCTTACAACATCTCTTTCTCCAAAGCTTTCTGCTATCCCTCTCAACACCGCATACTCTCTCCCCAGCGCCCCCTGCGGCCGCAACTCCAGCACTACGGCACGGGGCGGCATGAAGACCATGTGGTTGAGCAGCGGGCGTGCGGGGCCACAAACACGCGTGCGCGGTTGAACGTGCGCTTCACTGTCACCAGGTGTGCTTCCACCAGGGCCACATGGAGGTCCGCAAGCTCCTGCGCCGTGCCCCCTCCTGGCCACTTGCCCCACACCACCGCCCAGTCGTCCCCTGCCCCACCTGCTGCTGCTGCTCCATTTGCATCGGCTTCTGAAGGTGCTCAGAGAGTGAAGTCTAGATTGAAAATGGAAAAGACATTTACTGCAGAAGGAGGCGGGAAGGGATGGAAGGCGCAGAAGAGGTAGGTCAGGATCGAGGAATCAAACACAACCAGAAAGGAGTGGTAAAAAAACAAAGCTCCACGAATAGTCATACCATGGACAGAACGCAAAAATGAGGGAGTGACGGGTGAAGGGAGAAGGAATGCGCGATCAAATGTGACAGGGGGAAAGCGTACGTTTGAGTGTGGGCGGAAGAAGAGGGAGAGCTGGAAAAGACTGTTGCAGGTGCAGGGGGTGGGTGTGAGTGCATGTCTATGGGAGGGAGAGGGGTAGAGAGAAAGAAAAGGGAGGAGGGAGGAGGGAGGAGGGAGGAGGGAGTAGGGTTTCACTGCCAGCGGTAGGTGCAGGTTGGGGCGTGGGAGTGATGCCTGCGCCCCAACCTGCTGTTGCTGCTGCTGGTGGTTCTGCTCTTGGTCGTCATTGGTGAGGTGGTGGTTGTTCGGGTTGGTGGCGGGGCTGGGGAGGTCGGAGGGAGCAGGGCAGGCGTCGGAGTGGAAGAGAGTGGTGCCGTTGAACACTCGCCCCCACTCGCACACTCTCCAGCTGAAACAAAAGGTTGGAAGGAAAAATTGCAAAAGGGAGGGGGAGGCACGGCTGCAGGAGAAGGGAACAGCGTGAGTGCTGCAATGAGCTGCAAGGCTGAGAAAGGCAAGACCGCTGCTACTGCTAGACTGCATGTCTACCTACCTGCCTTCTTGCTCACTGCTACTACAACCCGCCCTTGCCATCCCTCATACCCTTTCTCTTTTCACACGCCTCTCTCTCCCCTGCCCATGCAATCGCCGATCGGCTTTGCTATGACCCATGCCATGCCTCCCAGAGCCATGACCTCAGGGCCTCCTACCCACTCTCGCCTCACCTACTCCATGCGCCACCACATCCCTCCACGCCCCTCCATCCATCTCGTCACATTCTTCCCCTCGCCTTTCCCTCGCCTCCTTTCCCTCTGATACCCCTTGTCATGTCCAATTTCCTATCCACGCACATCCTTTCCTGTTTGACATCTCTCTTCGCTGCCCCCCTCTCCTCTCGGTCCCCCTTCCCCCTCCCAAATAACCCCACCTGGCTCATCCACTGCGGCAGCAGTTCAAAGTCCGCCTCATGCCCACACAACGCACGGTGCGCCGCTGCTGCCACTGCAAGGGGTCGTGCAGGCCTTTGCTCCAACACGCCGCTCAACTCGCCCTCACAGTTGCCAAACACCGGACATGCAACTGAACTTGCCCTAGCGTAGATGCACGCGGGTCAGTGCTCCCCGCTTCGCCCTGCGCCGCCGCCACCATCGCCGCCGACCCCCACCCGCCCTCTCGCCCCCCCCGCTCCTCTCCCTTCCATCCGCCCTCCCACTTCTCATTTCCGCTACCAATGCTGCTGCTCACACTGCTGCTTTTGCTGCTGCTGGTCCTCATGCAACTGCTACCACCACCATCTCCGAATGTGCCCCTTCCAGTTGAAATTTTTCGATTTTAGCCCCACTGCCGCTCCCCCCTTTCCCCACGGCCTTGCTTGCGCGTCCCGCGGACCCCTTGTCTTTCCCCGCACCACTTGCGCCATTATTTCCAGTCCCCCGCATCTCCTCCGCCCGCCGCTGACCTTTTCTTGCTCGCCCCCGCCCCCGCCTTTTTATCCGCGCCCGCGCCCACGCGGATCAGCGCCGCTTTGATTCCCCCCTTTGGCGCCCGCCGGTTTTGCCTTATTCTTGGCCGCGCGCTTTCGCGCGCGCCGTTTTCGATTGCGCGGAACGACGTGTGGGTGCGCGATGAGTCCGAACTTCCGCGGAAACACGTGCCTGTGCCGCTCCCACTTCACGAACCCGCGGCACAGCAGCAGCAGCCACGACCCGATCCGCCGACTGCCGCCGCCGCCGCCCCCGCTGTCGCCGCTGCTGTGCCCTCGACGATGACCTAACGTGTTGCTGATGCATATCTCCTCTGGCATATATCGAGAATACTGTGTGTTCGTTTTCTTCGAACGACTATGGATGGCGAGAGTATGTTCAGCAGGCTGAGTCAGTACTGATCGTCACTTCACCTCTTCGGTGGCGATTTAGTTGTTAGGCTTCTCCAGTGATTCGCTGATCCGAATCTACGGAGAACCAACAGGAGACAGTGGTGAGGGTTCTGTTGTGTTCAATTCAACCTATATATTATATGGGCCAGAATTGGAAAGTTGGAAAGACTGTTCGACTAAAACTCTTGTCGGAACTTTGAACAACGAATCATTCATTTGACACCAGCTGCCAAAACGAACACCCCCGCTCTCACGCCTCGAGCATCTGCACATGCGAAGTTCCTGTAGAGAATTGAGATAAAGACAAAAGGGTATGATTGCACACTAGAATAAGACAAGGGTGAACAGTGGGACTGTAGCATGTGAGGATGAGCTTGATAGAATAGAAGATGAAGCTTAAAACTTGTGTAAAGTGGAATGCTTGATGAGATAAGAACTTAGAAGAGAAGAAGAGCGTGAGCTCGTTGAGAGAATGAGAGTGGTGAAAAATACTTACTTGAGTGAATCTTACTAGGGATAATCGAAGAGGTAACTTGAGAGAAGAGCTTGAGAGGCAGGGCTGACGATATCAGGGTAATTACCCTGATTTCAGGGTGATTACAGGCTTCTGACTTGGTGGTCCCTGCAAACTCAGGTTTTGTATTTTGTGAACTCTGATCCAATCAGAGAAGCTACTTAACGGACTCTGAATTCTTGTAACTAGGCTCAGAGTAGTGTACTTGCGGAGTCTGTCTATGCAGGGTATGCGTTCCGTGGACCCTGAATGCGAGGGTATCGGGACGAAGTTTCCTAGAAGCTTCGTTTCGATAACCCCCTTGTGCGTAATCATTTCTTCGAATGGCCCCATGTTAGGTACCCCCTTCACGCACCCGTGAGTGACGTAATACCGACAAAGGAAAACACTGACGTGCTGTACATCACAGCTGGCAACAGCGCCAACGCAGCCAAATCAATGATACGGTGCTGCCACGCGCACCGCACAGTGCACAGCATGTGTCTGCCATTGGCCAGAATGGCCTGTTGACAGCATGCGGTGGCAGCCAAGGAGTCCGTGAATGAATTCGGCCTTGAATGCAACGACGAAGTCATCGTTGAATGTTGCCATCAAGTCCGTGGAATCGCGGCGCGGTGGTTTCGTGCTCCCGCCATCTCTAACCTCCCCTTCCCTCCCCATACCAACAGCAAACGTTCCTTTGTTCACTGGTGTGTTCTTTCTATTATGTGCATTCATTGTCTCATTTTCCTCTCGTTCAGTTTAGCCACCAATGGAGGCCATGCCGGCCGACGAAGCTGCTCCGGACACTGGCCCCGACGAGCCGCCTGTAACAGCGAAACCAATAGCGGCGTCCCAGCCGGAGAAAGCTTCGGATGCTCCCCGCTCTGGGCTAGATTTTCTTAGACCTTCGGCTGCTCCCGTCACACCTAAACCGCCTAGGTCTACCGTTCACGACTCTGCCTCTGTAGTAACCCCTACTCCTACTGCTTCTCCTATTCCCGTCCCGTTCACTCTCCCCCCGGCTGTTGCTGGCTGCAGCAAAGATCCTCCGCCGCCCTCGCCCAGTCTTACTCCTAGCACGGTGCGGGTGTCCCTTGGCCCGCCGTCGGCTACTTCCGCTCCCAAGCGTGCACGATCTGGTAAGTGGGCGCAGAGTACTCTGCTGGTGGGAGGCCGCCGTATTCCACCGCCGGAAAAGCCCGATGAGCCTGCACAGAAAGAAGTTGAGCTGCCGGAAGAAGGTGACATCCCGGTGCGCGCGGATACCGGCTCGCCGGCACTCACCAAGACACAGCTGCGAGAGCAGATGTACCTGGAGGCGAGTATTAATTACGAGACGAAGTGGGCGGGATACTTTTCTTGGCTTGTGTTTGGGAAAACCAAGGACGGTTTCCCGTACGTGAAGTGCAGCATCTACATGTCGTACGGTATGTCAAACATTATATATGTTATGTTTGTGTAGGCTACAGTGGGTTAGCCTATAGGGGGTACACAATTCTAGGGTTTCCTACTTGTACTCATTTCACTGCTAGTTCATTCATTCCAGTTCGCTTATTCTCACATGGTATAGAGCGAGTCCTTCCTAAGGACCGTTATTTTTAGGGCCCACCGAAGCGCGCCCCGAGGCGCGCATTTTTTTCGCGACCCTTCGGGTCGCCATTGCTCTCGCGACCCCGCTGTCCCTCTGACGCGGCCCCGCCACCTCTGCTTGACGCGGCCCCGCCGCCTCCTCTGCAGCGGCCCCGCCGCCTCCTCTGACGCGGCCCCGCCGCCCGCTAATCGCGGCCCCGCCGCCGGCTCTGACGCGGCCCCGCCGCCCGCTGATCGCGGCCCGCTGCCGGCCCTGACGCGTCCCCGCCATCGGCTTTGACGCGGCCCCGCCGCCGGCCCTTCGCCGGCCTCGCCGCCGGCTACAACGCGGCCCCGCCGCCCGCCTCGACGAGGCCCCGCCGCCGGCTCTGACGCGGCCCCGCCGCCGCCTCCTGATCGCGGCCCCGCCCCGGCTCTCTCACGGCCTCGCCGCCGGCCCTGACGCGGCCCCGCCCCGGCTCTCACGCGGCCCCGCCGCCGGCTCTCTTGCGGCCCCGCCGCCGGCTCTCTTACGGCCCCGCCCCGGCTCTCTTACGGCCCCTGCCGCCGGCCCTGACGCGGCCCCTGCCTCGGCTCTCTTGCGGCCCTGCCGCCAGCTCTGAAGCGGCCCCGCCGCCGGCCCTCGCGAGGCCCTGCCGCCGGCTCTGACGCGGCCCCGCCCCGGTTCTTTCACGCGGCCCTGCCGCCCCACCTGCAGCAGTCGGGCAGCCGTGCAGCCGAGCCGCCCGGGAGCCGAGCCGCCCTACGCTCGAGCCGCCCTGCCGCCGAGCCGCCCGGGAGCCGAGCCGCCCTGCACCCGAGCCGCCCTGCCGCCGAGCCGCCCGGGAGCCGAGCCGCTGTGCACCCGAGCCGCCCGGTCGCCGAGCCGCCTTTCTGCTTAGCTGCACGACCTGCCCTGCCTGGTGAGCACAGTCCCACTGCCACTGCGTGCTCTTCCCCTACTGCTTGCACTGCTTCGCTGTCGTCGCCATGGCTACCCCTAGTGTCCTAGCTTTTGACGCTGAGGGTCGCGCCATTGATTTTGAGGTCTGGTTAGATGACCTGCAGCTGTTCTTACAGTGCGACAGAGCTGACGGCCTTTCTCTCTTTGACCTCACCTCTGGCGCCTCTCCTGCTCCTGCTGCTGATGCTGATCCCACTGTCCGCTCTCAGTGGGCCACCCGCGATGCTGCTGCACGTCTTGCTGTGCGTCGCCACCTCCCTACCTCTGAGCGTGCGCACTTTAGTCAGTACAAGAGTGCTCAAACCTTGTACGACGCTGTAGTTGCGCGCTACTCCTCCCCTGCCACTGCTGCACTGAGCCGTCTCATGCTTCCCTACCTCTTTCCTGACCTCTCTGCCTTTCCCACTGTCGCTGACCTCATTACGCACCTCCGCACTAGTGACACTCGCTACCGCGCCGCCCTTCCTGCTGAGTTCTGCGCTAAGAACCCACCCCCCATGTACATCGCTCTCTACTACGTAGTAGCGCGCCTCCCTGACTCCCTTCGCGTCGTCAGGGACCACTTTCTCGCAGTCTTTCCCACCACCCTCACCGTCGACCTCCTCGAGAAGGCCCTCCTCGCAGCGGAGAAGAGCATAGTCGCTGTAGGTGCTTCTCGTGGTGACCCTCGCACCCCCATCTTTGAGGGGTGCTCTCCTTCCCCCTTGCTGCCCTCTGTTGCCTCTGCTGCTGCTGCCGACCTGCTTGGTCTTGAGTCGGTCGGCGCGGCGTCTGCCCCTAGTGGGAGACGTCGCTCCAGCAAGGGCAAGGGGGGCAAGGGCGCGGGTGGAGCTGGAGGGGGCGGTGGCGGTGGCGGCGGTGGCGGCGGAGGGAGTGGGGGTGGCGGCGGGACTAGTGGCGGGGGTGGTGGTGGTGGTGGTGGCAGCAGTGGCGGAGACGGTGGTGGTGGTGCCAGCGGTGGTGGTGGAGGCAGCGGCGGAGGTGGAGGCGGCGGAGGTGGAGGCGGTGGAGGCGGCAGCGGAGGAGGCGGTGGTGGTGGAGGAGGTGGAGCTGGTCGGGGTGGTACCCAGCAGCGTAGCGGCGGTGGTGGTGGCCAGCGCTCGCAGCGGCAGCAGCAGCAGCGCTCGCGGGACATCCCTCCGCCTCAGCAGCTTCGTGAGTGGTACGCTGGGCGTCAGAGGGGTGGGGGTACTGGTCCCTGCACCTACGTTCTTCGTTCCGGCGACCGCGCGGGTGAGCAGTGTGGGGGTGCCCACGCCGCCCAGCGCTGCTTTGGCCGCCTGATGGACGCTTGGCGTCAGCAGTTCCCTGGGGCTAGTGAGATCCCTCGCTGGGATGAGCTTCTTAGGGCTGGTGTAGCGATCTTTGATCTTGATTTTGATGCTATCCTTGCTGCTATGTATGCTGTGACTTATAGTGAGGAGAATGAGGGTTACCGGTGTTTCCAGCCCGACCCGGGCATTGGTACTGCTGCGCTAGGTGCTTGTGAGGCTGCTGCTCTAGGTGCCAGTGCGTCTGCGCTCTCAGGTACTGG